TAGGAGTGTGTTGTGCCCACATCTAGCACACACTGCGTGATTTGGTTGGGGAGACAAGTGGGCTGAGCACATGCTCTGCATGTCCCCGGTGTGAGCCCCAAACACAACACAGAACCCAGAGGAAGATGGCCAGTAGCCAGGGCCAGGGATCGAGAGCAGGTTAGTTGGAGGCTAGGACTCGTCTTCATCCCTGGGGCCTCACCCGCTTTGCTCAGGACTCAGCCCCCACCACACACACACTTGGCTCTGCCACGCTGCCCAGGGAACGCCAACGCTGCCGGGCGGTGCTTGGGGGCCGCCGGGGCTTGAGCCCACCAACATGAGCCCTAGCCCTGAGCCCTCAACCAGTCGCGGTGAGAATGTGCCCTCACCCCTGGCTAGAACGCACCAACTGTCCGGCACGGGGCAGGGTCTGTGCTGTGCAGATTATATTTCAAGAAACCGGCTTGATGGTGGATCAACTTCCACACTACCCCCCCCACTCACATAACCTCCTGGGGAAACTTGGGGGCCAGAACTTGGGGGCTCTTGGGCTCACGAAATGGCGGCAGTTTTGCTGAGGGAGACTCACCAGGGAGCTTTGTTTATTTGGACTTGGGGCCCGCACCTGACAGTGCTCAGGGCTTACCTTTGCTCTGTACTCAGGGATCACTCCTGGTGGGCTCAGGGGGCCATATGTTATGCCAGCGATCAAACCCGGGTCTGCCATGCGCAAGGCAAGCACCCTGCCCACTGGACTATCTCTCCAGCCCTCACCAGGAGGTGTTTTAGTTTTAGCTTGTGGCCCACCTGGCAGTGCTCAGGGCTATTCCTGACCCTGTGCTCAGGGCCTGCTCTTGGCAGTGCTCGGGGGACTGTAGAGGATACCGGGGATCGAACCAGGGCTGGTGCATGCAGGCCAATGACCAACCTGCTGTCCTATCTCACCAGCCCTCCTCAGGGAGTTTGGTTTTTTGACTGAATCGCCATGAATTACAAAGTCACAAAGATATTTATGATTGAGTTTCAGCACCAACCCCACCAGGAAGTTTTAAATACCAACAGCGGGTCGGAAAGATTGCTCTGGTGGTGAACCATGCCCGGGTCCCCGAGAACCACCAGGAGCACGACTGAGCACCACTGGGTGAGCACTGCAGTATCGTGGCCCCAGCCTAGGGTTCTGCTTTAACGGGCTTGTGAATTAGCCTGCATCCTGGGAGCTTTCCAGAATATTCCCAGGGGACCTAAGGGCACTCCCTAAAAGCAAGGACGAGGACTCCCTCACCTCACCCCAGCTACTCCACAGGCAGTGCTCGGTGTGAGGACCCGAGAGCACGCTGGGTCCTGGGTGCAGGAGCCCACCTCCATTTGCCCCGTGGTCACCCCCTTTGATGTGGAGAAGACCTGAGTGTGCAGAGCGGTGAGGTGACAGGCGCACAGAGGGCTGGACGGGCTGACACGGAGCGGACAGCCGGACCAAGTCTGGGTCTGTGACGAACAGTCTGCTGGCCGGAGACACAACAGGGGTTGGGCTCTTGCCTGCACGTGGCCAAGCCTGGTTCTGTCACCAGTACCACACACAGTGCTCTGAGCACTTCCAGGGGAGCACATTTGAGGGAGCCCAAAGTATAGGAATGACTTACAGGCTGTGTGACTGCCCAGGTTACCGCACCTGCATTCCTTCCCCTTCTTCATCAGTGAAATCGGGGCCCCAAGGCTGTCACTGGGCTAGAGAGCTTGCAGCCACCCCTGGACATGCACCAGCATGGAAGGTGGGCACTGGACACCACCGCCGTGCTGGGCCTAAGCACTGCCCAGCTGAGGTTTAGAACTGCCCAGCCTTTGGGGACGGAGCAAGAGCCCAGTGGGGAGGGCACTTGCTCAATCCCCGGCCTCCCATGTGGCCCCCCAGCACCGCCAGGAGTGACCCGAGTGTAGAGCCAGGAGTAACCCCTGAGCATCGCTGGACGTGGTTCAAAAACCCAAAAAAAAGAAAAAATGAAGTCTCTGGCCCAGTTGACCCAGTGTCCCCAGGAGTAGCCGCTCGGCCTGAGTACTGCTTGGGAGGACCCCAAGAAACAAAGACTGTTACAGAGGGCTGGGAGGTGGCTCGGCAGAGAGTGTCCCACAGGCCTGAGGCCCTGGGTTCGAGCCCTGGCATGGCAAAGGTCGTCAGAGAACAGAGTGGAAGGCACGATGCTCTCCCAGTCATGAGGCCCCAGGTGGCACAGGGGAGGGAGGTGCTTGCCGAGCACACGCCCACCCGGTTCCGTCCCTGGCAGCCCATGTGGTCCCCGGAGCCCACCAGCAGTGATTCGGGGGGAAGCCCTGAGCACCGCCAGGTGTGAGGGAAGAAACGCCCAGTCATGGCACTGGGGACCATGGTGGAATGAATGAATGACGAATGAATGAATCAAGCCAAAGGTGTAGGCAGTGGGCCAGCTCCTGGGGCCAGGGAAGGGGCTTTCTGAGGGAGACAAGTTCTCCTTGAGGTCCCGTGGAGGTGGCCCCACCCTTCACCTGCCAGGTCCTGGGGTGGGGCCGTGCAGACCAGGGTCCCCACCTGGCCAGAGCCAGCTTTCAGAGAGAGTGTGGAAACGCCATGCCCGTGCACAGCCTGAGTGAGGCGTGGCAGGACGTAAGGAATCATCTCTCCAACGCTCTCCCCCAGAGACCAGAGTCCCGGCAGGGTGAGGGCTCGGCACGTGGTTCCTCCGAGTACCACCAGGGGTCGCTCCTGAGCACAGAGCCGGGAGTAGCCCCAGCGTCGCTGCGTGAGCCAGACACTGCATTGAGGGTCCAAGGGCGACGAAGGCAGTCTCCTTGCATGCGAAGGACTCAGGTGCCACGTGAGTCACTTCTGGGCCGGGGAGCAGTGCCGCAGTGTGGTCGAGGAGCAATTCCAGCAAACAGAGGCAAAGTCTTGCCAGCCGGCTGACCCGGGTTCGATCCCCGGTGTCCCATATGGTTCCTTGAGCACCGCCAGGAGTGATGCCTGAGTGCAGAGCCAGGAGTAACCGCAGAGCACCTCCGGGTGTGGCCCCAAACAAAACAACAACCCAAGAACACCCAAGCGATTCCCCTCACCCTCTGCACGGCTCCAGCCTAGACCTCGGACCCTGCTTCCGCCCCCCACTCGGCAAGGACGGGCCCCCAGTCTCCCGTCAGAACCCCCGTCTCACGGGGCCTCAGAGGCCTCCAGATCCACCTCCCCAACAACCCCTCAGGCTATTCTTCAGGGGTCTCTGCACATGTGGTGGTGCTCGGGGCTGCCTGTCGGTCCCGGAGTGACCGCTGGGATGCTCACCTGTGGTCATCTGCGGCCCCAGGGACTGAACTGGGGTCGGGCTGCCAGCAGGGGCAGGTCCTACCCACTGCGCTCTCTTCCTGGCCCTCGCCCCTGCTCTGCTGGTGCTCCGCCACCCTCTCCCCTGCGCCCCTGTTCGTTTCTCTGACCTCGCATGGCACCCAGCTCCGGTCTCCCTGCTGCCCTCGCTCCCCCGCGTCTCTGCACACAGAGCTCACCCCAGGCTCGGACTGGGGGGGATCAAACCAGGCCCGACGCCTCTGGGCAAGCACTGAACGACCCCACCAAAAAAAAAAACCACACACCAAAATTAAGACATCCGTGTGTGCCCACTCCCACACACAAGCACACTCCCCCCTCAGCCCCCTCCCCCTCCACTGCCGCCTTTCCCGCTTTTCTCTTCGCCTGGCTTCCTGTGCAGGTTTGCTCTGCAGTCAGCGGTTTATTCTTTGTCAGTGCTCGAGGCCGGCCCGCTTCTGTCCCATGCACTGACCTGTGGCGCGTTTCTCACATGCAGACTCCATGGAGACAGTGTTGTCTGGCTGCCAGGCCAGGCACGAGAAGAGGCTCGTGGACACTGTGACTGAAGGGATGAATCGGACACTGTGACTGAAGGGATGAATCGGACACTGTGACTGAAGGGATGAATCGGCCCTGGGTCACTAGGAGGTTTCCCTGGGCTCAGAGGGGAAGGAGCGGGGAGGGAGAGAGAGAGAGAGCAGCTGTTTGGAAGGCCGGGCCCAGGGCATGCTGCCCCTGGGGTGCCTATTAGGCCCTCTGTGAAAGGTGCTCTTCTCTGCCCTCCTCCCCCTCCCTGCCTCTCCCCTACTCTCTTCCTCTCTTCTTCCTCTCTGCCTCTCTCTATCCCTTCCTCTCTCCCTCCCTCTCCCTCTCTCTCCCTCTCACTCCCTCTCTCCCTCTCTCCCCCCCTCTACCCACCCCCAGCTGGCTGTCCTCAAGTCTCAGCTCACCCTCTGGGGAGTGTGGACCTTAACTCCTGAGGTCGCGGACCCAGTGCTCCATCCCAGTGGGCGTTTATCTCTCCCTCCAGTCCATCCCCTCCAGGTTGGAGCCTCTCAGCTCAGCCAGGGGCTTGCTGGCTCACGCCCTCACCCTGCTGAGCTGCGTGAGAGCCGCCTGGACACCCCCTCAAGGCTCAAGGCGCACGCACTCCCATCACAGATCAGTTCAGTCAGGTTGGGGTGACTTTTAATTTTTTCCTCTGTGTTATTTATTCTCGCAGTTGGCTGTGGGAGCCACGTGCCGTGGTGCTGAGGAGACCGGGTCAAACTCGGGGTTTTCTGCACGCCGGAACTTTATCACACAACACAACTCGGGCTGAGTACACACGACGCGGGTCGGGCTGCCTGGGCTTTCGCTGGCCTCAGTGCTGGGTATCCCTGTCCCCGTGTCCCAGGACCCCCTGGGTAATCAGCACAGCTTCCCCCCCCCCCCCCAAACAGGTGCTTGTTTATGAACTTTCCCAGGACCAGCTGGCCGAGAATGAGTGGACGGGGGCCCCCAGACAGCACCGTGTGGAGGGCACTCGCCTTGCACGTGGCCGACCCTGGTTCGACCCCCAGCAGCCTGGATGATCCCTGAGCCCCGCCAGGATGAGCACTGAGCCAGGAGTAAGCCCTGAGCACAGCTGTGTGTGGCCCCAGCGCAAACACCGTCGGAAGCTCTGCTGGTGGCCGAGGGGGGATGCTGCAGCTCAGTCGGACAGTTCCTCCTCGGGGCCCCTGCCGCTGGCCGCCCGCTGCATGGCCGTCACCCAGCTGTCCCTCAGCCGCTCGCTCTCGGCTCGGAAGGTGTAGAGCTGGCCCGACTGGTGCAGCTGGAAGAGCCGGGGGTCGGCCTGCGGGCCTGGGGTCACCTGGTAGCCCAGCAGGGGGATGGAGGTGTGGGCTCGCACGTCCTGGAGTAGAGTGGGGGGCAGGGCCCCGGCTCAGCCCTTAGCCCCAGGCCCCACGAAGCCCTGATGCCCCTCAAGCCCCTCGACCCAAGGGCCCCATCTCCGGACCTCCCGCCCTGGGCACTGGGACCCCGTTACCTGAGGGGCAGCGTAGATGTAGAGCACCAGGGGGTCGTCCCGGGGGATCACGCACCAGCCCCTTGGGCCGCTCCTGCCCCAGCGGTCCCCAAGCAGCTGCAGGAAGCCGCTCATGACGGTCTGCCCCACGCCCGTGGCCGAGCCTTTCTGGAAGCAGAGAGGGCCCGAGATGTGCCTGGCCAGGCAGCGAGCAGAGGGACATGGTGCCCGGGTCAGGGTGGGTCCCTCAGCCCCTGTCCACAGCTGGACCTGGACCGGGCGGGTGAGGCGGGCTCGGCATCTGTGAGCTGTCCCCAGACTGAGGCAGGGCCTGCAGAGGGACCCCTGCGCTGACATCCTCCCAGGCTGCAGTGAGTTCGAGGATGTGCGGCCCGTGCCCGGTCCCCAGCACCCCGCATGGTCCCCTGAGCTCTGCCAGGAGTCAGCCCTGAGCACTGCGCCCAACCCCCGCCCCTCAGAAAGAGAAGGCAGGGGAAGACGGGGCGAGGCAGGGCTTGGGCCGTGGACGTGACCTTCCAGGACCTTCCACGGCAGGGGCCCCTTCGTCTGAGGAGCTGGACTGGGGCCACGCAGTGTGCGGCCCCCGGGGCCTCGGGGAGCAGCTGTGAGCTCCTCCCGGGGGCCTGGCACAGCCTCTCTGCTCGGGAACTGAACCATCGACCCCCGCTTGGGCATTTCCCCCTGCCTGGTCCCCCCCACATCACCCAGTAGTCTCCAGACGCCCTCATGCCCCGCACACCCGGGAAGCAGCTCATCCTTGGGGCCAGCACTGAAGCCGCAGCCTGGCTGGCTGAGAAGTTGGGAGAGAGGGGCCCCTGAGCACCTCTCAGGAGCACTCCCCAGCCCGTCCCTGGAGCCCCTGCCGTCCAGATGAGTCTCCCAGCACTGGCTCCCCACCCGGGCTCCCGTCTGGGGAACGGCAGCGCTGGGGGTCTCCTGGGATGGAGGGGGCGGGGCAGGGGGCAGAGAGGCCAGGGGGTGGGCAGAGAGAGGAAGGGGAGCAGGGCCAGCACGCCGCAGCCCAGGGAGGCACCCTCACCTCCAGGATGCCCGGCCGCCTGTCCTCCTTGTCCTCGGGGAGCACGTTGCCCGTGAGAAAGGTGTAGCAGTCGGAGCAGACACGGTTGGGCCTGTTGTCGTCATACTTGAGCTCGGCCCGGTAGTCGGAGCACCGGCCGCACACGACCTGAGTGAGGACAGTGGAGGGGCTGGGCCCAGGGCTGAGCCGCAGAAGGACCAGTCTGCACCTTGGCCGTGACTGCACTGTGGCTGTGTCTGCATTTGACTGTGTATGCACTGTGACCATGTCTGCACCATAGTTGTGTGTACTGTGACCGTGTCTGCACTGTGACCGTGTCTGCACCATAGTTGTGTGTACTGTGACCATGTCTGCACTGTGACCGTGTCTGCACCATGGTTGTGTGTGCACCGTGGCTATGTCTGCACAATGGATGTGTCTACACAGTGGCCGTGCCTACTCCGTGGCCATGTCTGCACTGTGACTGTATGGACTGTGGCCATCTGTGCACCGTGGCTGTATCTGCACAATGGATGGGTCTACTCTGTGGCCGTGTCTGCACTGTGACCGTGTCTGCACCATAGTTGTGTGTACTGTGACCATGTCTGCACTGTGACCGTGTCTGCACCATGGTTGTGTGTGCACCGTGGCTATGTCTGCACAATGGATGTGTCTACACAGTGGCCGTGCCTACTCCGTGGCCATGTCTGCACTGTGACTGTATGGACTGTGGCCATCTGTGCACCGTGGCTGTATCTGCACAATGGATGGGTCTACTCTGTGGCCGTGTCTGCACTGTGACCGTGTCTGCACCATAGTTGTGTGTACTGTGACCATGTCTGCACCATGACTGTGTGTGCACCGTGGCTGTGTGAACACCGTGGCTGCGTCTACACTGTGACCGAGTCTGCACCATGGCTGGGCGGCGACCAACAGGGACAGGAGGAGGAGGAGGAGGCGGTTCATGAGGACAGAGGCAGAGAGAGGGGCGTGCTGCCTGGGACTCCTTCATGGGGAGGGCTCCTACTGGGGAGTCAGTCCCGGCTTCTGGGGTGGGGCCCCCACCTCTCCCCGTTGGTTCCGGGCTTGGCCTGCGCCCAGCTGCACCTGAGCCCCTCGTGTCTCTGTCTTCACACCCCTGCCACACCTCTGGCTCATGGCTGCCCCGGGGCGAGGGCCTGGCACAGTGGAGGGTGCAGGGGGCTCCTCAGGACACCCAGCTAACTGGAAGCAAGTCCCCCAACGGCAAGACCTGGCTTTTACAAAGTGTCCCAGTTCTGTTGAAAAGGCATGCCAGGTTGGGGAGGCTCAGCGTAGAGCATCTGCCTTGCTTGTGCGAGGCCCCAGGGGGTTCCATCCTGCTACAACCAAAAAAAGAAAAAAGACTTTCCCTGCAAATTTTGCCATTCACTGACTCAGAATCCACCGTAGTCTGGAGAACTAACATGAAAATGAAGATCTGGGGGCCGGAGCGATAGCACAGTGGGTAGGGCGTTTGCCTTGGACGCGGCCGACCCGGGTTCGATCCCCAGCACCCCATAGGGTCCCCCAAGCACCGCCAGGAGTAATTCCTGAGTGCAGAACCAGGAGTGACCCCTGAGCATTGCTGGGTGTGACCCAAAAAAAGGCTAATTAATTAATTAATTAATTAATTTAAAAAAACGACCAACAGAAAGTGAAAAAAAAATAATTCATGTAAGGGGAGAAAATATTAAAAAAAAAAAAAAAAGAAGACCTGGTTGTCCTTGCCACCTGCATGTGTGTGCTCCACAGGGTGGACCCCCGGAGCCTAGCCCACCCCCAAAAGGCCAACATGGCCCAAAGCCAGGGAGAGCAGCTAGGAAAGGCAGAGACAGGGCAGCCAGCGGCAGGAAGGCTGGAGTCCAGGAAGGGTGGGGTGTGGGGGGGAGGAGAAGGGGAGAGGGTACCAGGGAGGGCCAGGGAGGGGCGGGAGGAGCCTGGGCAGCCCCACCCTCACCAGGATTCCCGCCTGGCAGGCGAGGCAACAGAAACTGGCAGGGAACCACCGAAAGGGTGACTCACCTGCACAGGTGCCCGTCAGGACAGGGCCTCCGCCGTGCTGGGAGGATGGTTTCACGTCTGCGTGCGTACGGAGAAGGCCCCAGCATTTAGATTAGCATGCATAATTTCCTAACGTGACTTGGAGCCCGGGCTCCATACCGGCAGGTTGCTCCCAGCGGTTTCCAGGGGACCACACAGAGCGGGGCTGGACCCTGGGGTTCCCACTCGAAGCAGATCCCAGCCCATTAAGCCTTTTCTCCGGCTGACCAACTCTGGGGATGTGGGTAGATGGGGCCTGGGTCTCTCCATGTGCCCAGAGATCTCTTCCGGGGCAGAGACAGTACAGGGGTAGGCACCTGCGTGCATGCAGCCCACCGGGAGTGACCCCTGGCTGCAGAGCCAGAAGTAAGCCCTGAGCACTGCCTGGTGTGGGCCCAAGACAAAGGCAGATCAGGGGGTCTCTCTGGTGCTCAGGGCCCGTGTGTGACGCCAGGTGCTCTGCAAGGGGCCTGATCTCCTGCAGGTCTCTCAGCCGCCCGCCCCTCTTTATTTTGAAAACACTTAAACTTGCAGACAAGTTGAAAAGAAAATAATAATAATAATAATAATAATATGTATATATGTATCTGTGTATATATATATATTTATGTGTGGGCTGGAGCAATAGCACAGCGGTAGGGCGTTTGCCTTGCACGCGGCCAACATGGCCGACCCGAGTTCGATTCCTCAACCCCTCTCGGAGAGCCCGGCAAGCTACCGAGAGTATCTCACCCGCACGGCAGAGCCTGGCAAGCTCCCCGTGACGTATTCGATATGCCAGACACAGTAACAACAAAGTCTCCAATGGAGACGTTACTGGGCCCACTGGAGCAAATCGATATAGAGAGAGAGAGCAGAGCCTGGCAAGCTACTTGTGGCATATTTGATATGCCAAAAACAGTAACAATAACAAGTCTCATTCCCCTGACCCTGAAATAGCCCCCAGTATGCCACTGGGCTACGCTAGCACAGGACAGGAATGAATGGAGTCATTATTGGTGCCTGCTCGAGCAATATATATATATATAGTGGGATATATCACTGTATCACTGTCCTCCCGTTGTTCATCGATTTGCTCGAGCGGGCCCAGTAATGTCTCCATTGTGACAGTTGTTACTGTATTTGGCATCTCGAATACGCCACGGGGAGCTTGCCAGGCTCTGCCGTGCGGGCGAGATACTCTCGTAGCTTGCCGGGCTCTCTGAGAGGGGCGGAGGAATCGAACCGGGGTCAGCCTGGGTCAGCTGCATGCAAGGCAAGTGCCCTACCCACTCCAGCTTAGGATATATATATTTTCTTTCTGCATCTCTGCCCCGGGCCCCGACATTTCCTTTCACTGTGGGCACACTTGCCCCGTGCTTCTGGAAGGCAGCGCGCCGGCATCCCTGCGTGATTCTGTGCTCCCCGTCAGTGTCTGGCCGCTAGATCTGGACCCAGCAAAAACACGGAGGAGCCCAGGCCCTTCCCAGCTGCTTAAGGGCGTGACAGACAGATCCACCAAGGTGTGTCCTGGCCCTGATTGCAGTTTCACACACTTTGGGGCCACCCTGACTGGCCCCAACCTGCCCAGTCGGTGGCCTCCCTTCCCCAGGTCATGAAGCTGAGGTCACAGAGGCCTGTGGCACTTGCCAGCAGGCAGGGGTGCAGCCCAAGCAGGTGAGGAGCCCACAGGCTGCTTGCTTGCTCCGGGGGGGGGGGGGGGGGGCGGGCGGGAAGGAAGGGTTGGACTCGTTCTTACGGGACCCTCCCCCTCTCTGCAGGAGGGGCCTAGATTTCCAGGCGCCCGTGAGGAAACTGAGGCCTGAGCCTGGCATAGCCACTGAGCTGTCCAGGGCTGGGCTGTTGAGGACTTGTCCAGAAGGGCAGGGGACCGTGAGCCAATGACCATCATGAACAGGAGCTATTGGGGGAGCATTACCAGGCCTGGGGCGAGGGGTGTTAGGTGCAAGGACCAAGAGGGGCCCAGGGGCTGGGACCCCCCAATGTTGAAAGAAGAGATCATTTCTGTTCTATGACCAGAGGCCTCGGGAACAGGCCCAGAAAGCGCAGGAAGGAAAGGTGGCCTGCTCAGTCACCTTGGGAAGTGCAGAGAGAAAACGGTCAGCCTCTCTGGACTGCAGAAGGGGGACGAAGCAGACCCCACTTCAACCCCAAACTGTGAGGCCCCGGTGAGGTGATCCATGTGCCAGGTGCAGTGACTAGACAATGCCTCATGGTGGTGGCACTGTGAGTGTGGTGCATTGGTCATGGATGGCACTGTGGGTGGGTAGGATGAATTGGTAGGTGGGTTGTGCTGATGGATGGAGCGGACTGATGGGTGTGCTTCACTGGTGGGTGGGGTTCATTGGTGGTGGGATGCATTCATGGTAGGTTGCATTGGTTGGTGGGTGCATTCGTGGTAGGTTGCTTTGGTGGGTGGATGCATTCGTGGCAGGTTGCATTGATGGTGTATTTGTAGTAGGTTGCATTGGTGAGTGTGTGCATTCGTGGTGGGTTGCATTGGTGGGTGGGTGCATTCGTGGTGGGTTGCATTGGTGGGTGTGTGCATTCATGGTGGGTTGCATTGGTGGGTGTGTGCATTCATGGTGGGTTGCATTGGTGGGTGGGTGCATTCGTGGTGGGTTGCATTGGTGGGTGTGTGCATTCATGGTGGGTTGCATTGGTGGGTGGGTGCATTCGTGGTGGGTTGCATTGGTGGGTGGGTGCATTCGTGGTGGGTTGCATTGGTGGGTGTGTGCATTCGTGGTGGGTTGCATTGGTGGGTGGGTGCATTCGTGGTGGGTTGCATTGGTGGGTGAGTGCCCCATCACGAAGTGCACTGGTGGGTTGCATCAGTGAGTGACTGTGTCAGGTGCCCGGGGCAGCAGTACTCACGTAGCCACAAGCCCGGCAGTGGTGGCGCCGGCGCGTGAGGGCGTTGAAGGGCTCCCTGCAGCGCATGCACATGCTGACCCTCTTGTCCCGGACCCAGAGGGGCGCCCGGAGGCCCAGCTCCTCAGACTGCAGCTGCGGGTCAGGAGAGGCAGCTCATGACCCTCCGCTCCTGTCCCGAGGCCACTGCCCTCCTGGTCTTGGCCACAGTGCAGCAGCGTGTACTACAGCCTGTGGAGAGCCAGGTTAGGGTCCCCGCTTCAGGCGTGGCCGCACGAAGGGCCAGAGAGCCAGCGGCTGTAGAGACCCCTCACGAGCCAGCGCTCAGATCGGAATGAAGCCCAGACTCTCCCGCGTCCCCCACGGTGCCATCTACCCAGGAGGAAATGCCTCCTGGGAAAGGGACCACCGGAGGCCCCCGGGAACTGAATGTGTCCGTGGGAGGCCCCTGGAGCCTCACCATCACCGCCAACACAAAACAAAACCCCGAAGCCCAGGGGTGGGCAGACAGCTCAGAGGCGGGAGCCCCAAGGCCGCTTCCCCAGCACCCGCTCTCCAGAGCACGGCCAGGCGGCCAGGCGTGGCCCAAGACCAAACAAATTTATTCATCACTGGCACTCCTGGGCTCACTCCTGCCTCTGTGCTCAGGGGTCTCTCCGGGCAGTGCTGGGGACCATCTGCTGTGCTGGGATAGGACAGGGGCCAGCCACAAACAAGACAAGAATCATTCCTTGGACTGTCTCTGGACCCAAAATAAATGTTTAAAAAAAGAACAAGATTTTGCTAAACAAGAATCTTCTGGCACTGAGTCTCAGAGGCAGGCAGTGCTGGGTAGAGGGGCTTCTGGTGGTCCCTCCTGATGGCGGCCGTCCCCAGCCCTCCAAGCCGCAGGGAGAGTGGGATGGAAAGCAAATCCCGCTGGGGACTCGCCCAGCGAGGGATGGCGGGAGCCAGGCTCCCCCTACCTCCTCTCGGGGGTCTCCCTCGGGGCCCTGGGCCGCAGCCTTGAAGGTCTCGCTTCTCTTCTCGACTTGATCGATGGCGGCTTGGAAGGCCTGGGGGGGGGCATGAGACTCTCTCGGCATCTCTGCATCCCCCACCCACCTAGCATGCGACAGCCCCTGGGCCAGGCAGTGGGCTCCAAGCCCGTTGGCTGACTAAAGCAGGGAGAAGCCATTAGCCCCATACTACAAGCATGAAAACTGCGTTTCAGGAGCTGAGATGATTGTCCCAGCGCCATCCAGCTAGGCGGAGAGACAGCAAGACAGGAGCGAGCACCAAGTCCTGTGCACACGCACACACCCACGCACACACACACGCACCCACATGTGCACACACACATGCACACACACACACACACACTTGCACCCACACGCACACACACATGCACCCACACACACACATGCACACACCCACATACACACATGCACCCACACGCACACACATGCACACACCCACATACACACATGCACCCACACGCACACACATGCACACACCCACATACACACATGCACCCACACACTCGCACCCACACGCACACACACATGTACTCACACATGCATCCACACACACATGCACCTACATGCACCCCCACATGCACCCACACATACACATGCACTCATCCACGCAGACACGAGCACTCACACACGCAGCCACATGCACACACACATGTACCCACACACACGCACCCCCACATGCACACTCATGCACACACACGTACCCCCCACATGCACCCACGCACACACACATGCACTCACATACACACAGGTACACACACACATGTACCCACACATACACATGTACCCATGTGCACAAACACACAAGCACTCACACACACGCAGTCCCATGCACACATGTACTCACATGCAGACATGCACCCACATGCACACACGTACCCGTACACACATGTACCCACGCACACACACACGCACTCATACACACACATGCACAAACATGCACCCCCCCCCCCCCGCTCCACACACACATGCACACTCGCTAGAGCCCCAGGCTTTCTGATACCTGCATCCAGGAACTCATTTCCTCCTGGGACCTGCTCAGACGGAGAAAGGGCCTGAGGGGGCGCCCTCGGCCCCCCCACCCTCTCCCGAGCCCGGCACCCGTCCGCTGCCTACCGGGCCTGCAGTTCCAGGGTTCGCTGCTTCCCTGACACCAGGAAGGAGTGGGGGAACTCAGCATCACTCAGCTCCCGGACCTGCCCGGAAAGGGAGAGAGATGGGGGGTGCATCACCCACCCGCCCACCCACCCAAACCAGGTGCTGGACATGTCCGCAGAACAGCTGAGCCAGAGGGAGGCCCTGGGGAGGGGACGGCCCTCGCCAGCACCCACCCGGTGCAAGCCCCCGCCCTCGCAGCAGCCCAGTCGGTGAGGTGTGAGGTGGAGGGGACAGTGACTGCCACAGGACCCGTCCAAACGGAAACTGCACCCCAAATGGGGAGGTTTGGGGCCCAATGAGGGCACTGTTACCAACCAGCAGACCCTCCTGGGAGCCCCACCCCCAGTTCCCTCACCCCCACCCTCTGGACGCAGGGAAAGTGCCTGCCAGCACTCACTTGTCCCAGCACTGCCCCCCGCCAAGGTTCTGCCATTCTCTCTCCCCCCACCCCCAGGAGCCGCTGCTGAACCCACTGACCCAGCCCTTGCCCTGGTGCCCTGCCTTGCCCCTCTCCAGGTGCGAGGGTTCCAGAGAGTTCCATTGGCCAAGTGTGCGCATTACCCACCAGCTAACAAGCTGGGTAGGGGGTCTGGGGAAGTGTCACATGACACCACGTGGGCACAGGCAGCGAAACCAGAATCTGATTTCTTATTTTGTCTTGTTTTGTTTCGGGCCACACCTGGCAGTGCCCAGGGGCTCCTCCTGGCTCTGTGAGGAGGGACTCACTCCTGGCAGTCAGTGCATGAGGGTGCCGGGGATTGAACCCTGTTCAGCACGTGCAAAGCAAGCACCCTACCCATGGATCTCTCTCTCTCTCCAGCCCCCCAATCTGATATCTTCTAAGCACTGTAGCACTGTCCTCCCGTTGTTCATCGATTTGCTCGAGAGGGTCCAGTAATGTCTCCATCGTGAGACTTCGTTGTTACTGTGTTTGGCATCTCGAATACGTCACGGGGAGCTTGCCAGGCTTTGCCGTGTGGGCGAGATACTCTCAGTAGCTTGCTGGGCTCTCCGAGAGGGGCGGAGCAATCGAACCCGGGTCGGCCGGGTCAGCCGCATGCAAGGCAAATGCCCTACCCGCTGCTATGCTATCACTCCACTCCAGCCCATCTGATATCTTTTTTTTTTCTTTTTGGGTCATATCCAGTGATGCGCATGGGTTCCTCCTGGTTCATGCACTCAGGAATTACTCCTGGCCGTGCTCGGGGGACCATATGGGATGCTGGGAATCGAACCCGGGTCGGACCGCGTGTGAGGCAAACGCCCTACCCGCTGTGCTATCACTCCAGCCCATCTGATATCTTAAAGGAATAAATTAGAGAGAAGGAAGAGCGTGAAGGGAGGGGGAGTAAGAGGGGCTGGAAGAATCGAATCAGAAATGATTCAAGCGGACCTGCCGTGAGAAGTCAGTTCAGATGGGGGAAGAGCCAAAGGGTCTTTCACAACCAAGCAACGATCTGTTAGATGCAATGACCCTGGCACTGGTGTTGGTTTGCTTTGCCTCACCCAGCGTGCTCAGGGCTGACAGCTGATGAGTCCGGGCGACCCTACGGGGGCACTGGGGATCGAGCCCCGGTTGGCTGTGTGTGAGGCAAGTGCCCTGCCCACTGCGCCATCCTCCCCAGCCCCGTCATGCTGCCCTTCAGGACAAGGAAAAGAATTCTTATCTGTTACAGAGACATCCTGGGGTATTTATAGGAGGAGAACTTATTTTTAATCTGAGATTTACTCTGAGTAATCCAGGGGCGCGAGGCAGGGATGAGAAATAGCACGAGTGGGAGAAGCGTGTTCTCCGCGCGTGTGAGTCCTTCCCCGCTGCCCGCGCACGCCCACGCGCCTGAGTGCCAGCAGGAGTGGCCCCTTGCTTTAAAGAAGTACAGCTGGGGAATGGCTCCGAAGTAAAGTACATGCCTTGGGGCTGGAGCGATAGCACAGCGGGGAGGGCGTTTGCCTGGCACGCGGCCGACCCGGGTTCGATTCCCAGCATCCCATATGGCCCCCTGAGCACCGCCAGGGGTAACTCCTGAGTGCAGAGCCAGGAGTAACTTACCCCTGTGCATCGCCGGGTGGGACCCCAAAATAAATAAATAAATAAAGTACATGCCTTGTACATATGAGACCTGGGTGTGCACACATGCAAACACACACACACACACACACACACACACACACACACACGGCGGGGGGTGGGGGATGGAGGGGGGTGGAGAGGGAGAGAGAGAGAGAAGGGGAAACCAGAGGAAACATTGATGAGACGCGACTCCCTGCGGGTGTGAGGAGTTATTGGGCCATTTTCTCGACTACCCACAGCAAGGGGGCTGGAGAGAGAATGTCTCTGAGGAGAAGGGTCGCCTTGCCCGTCAGCCTGGGTTCGACGGCAGGCGCCCTGCTGTGCCCGGAGCCGGCAGGGTGGCTCCTGAGTGCAGAGACGGGTGGGCCCGAGCCAGCCCACCCCAACATTTTCCTAAGTTAGAGGAAACTGTGCGTCAGGGCGGAAGCGGCCTGCAGGCGTGAGGTCACACGTCTGTCCCCAGCTCTGGGTCACTTCCCCGGGCTCTGTCCTGAGCACGGCAGGCACCATTCCAAAGCCGCGACGTAACCACGCGGCGGAACAGCACAGTCAGCGTGTTGTGGGGACTTTTTTCGTGTGTGGGGAGTCCACACTCAGAGATGCTCAGGGCTGACTCCTGGCGTGCTCGGGGGCCACGGGGAACGCTGGGGGTCGAACCCGGGCCAAGTGAAAGCAAGGCAACTGTGCAACAACAAAGTTAGGGAAAATCTCCGGGGGGGAGGGGGGATGATGGCCCAGAGGATGGAGCACATGCTTTGCAAGTGGAAGTCCCTGAGCACTGCAGTTTTAGCACAGAAAAAGACAGGAATAAAAGGAAAAAGAGGATGAAAGAAAGGACGGAAGGAGAAGAAAGGAAAGAAAGGGTGCGGGAGAGAAGAAATCTTCATAGCAATCTTGGGAGGCACGTATTTATTTACAACCCTCAAGTCCCAAGGGAAAAATGGGAATCCAGAGAGGGCAAGATACCTGGTGAAGGTTGCACAGCACTTAAAGAGCAGAAGGCTCACCGTGATTCAATTAAAATAATTTCTTAATTAAAATTTAAAAATAAAGAACTGAATGCACATTCACACTCGGGGTTTTGGCTCTCAAGGGTTAGGTGGGGGGAAAAAAAAAACATTTCTACCCACCCTGGGAATTAGGCAATGGAGAGCCACAAAGGGAGGCCGTGACCCGCACCTGGAGTCTGAGCGGCTTAGCAGGACGATGCTGCCCTCTGCTGGCCGATCCCTGCATGCCCGGCTCCTTCAGGCCTTCTGAGCCCCTGCACGGCACCCCGTGCTGCCCCAAGGCACCACACGGCACCTCCTTCGCCAGGCGGGCCAGGTCGACCCTTTGGGCCTCCGGAACCAGACTGCGGCCCTGAGGAGGAGTCCGCTGGACGTGCCTGGAACCAGGGCCCTGTGCAGGAGAGGACGCTGCACACTGATAGGAGAGACCTGGGGGGTCAGGGCGGAAGGAGGGGTGCGGAGTGAAGGACGGGACTGTGGCAAAGCTGGATGGAGCGGCGGCCCCAAGGCTGGCGAGGGGCTCCCTGATGTTCAGGCCAGGAGCACCTGGGAGGAAATCCGGCAAAACTCAGACAGGGACAGAAATGAGAAAAGGTTTGGGTAAGAAAAGGAGGAAGAAATATGATGAGGGTCCCTGAGGGACACACACACACACACACACACACACACACACACAGAGCAGATACACATAGACACAGAGACACAGAGACAATGTAAGTGTACATAGACACACAGACACACACAGACAAACACAGACACACACAGACACACACACAGAGACAGACAGAGACAATACAAACATACATAGACACACAGACAGACACACAGAGACACACAGATACAAAGAGACACACAGACACACAGATACACACAGACACATACACAGACACACAGAGACACAGACACAGAAGGCACACATAGACACACAGACTCAGAGACAACATAAACGAACATAGACACACAGACAAACACAGACACACATAGACAAATACAGACACACACAGACAAACACACACATAGAGACAGACACAGAGATAATACAAACATATATAGACACACAAACACACATAGACACATGGACACACACAGACACACAGACACACAAGGGCACACACACACACACACACACTCACCGCTCTGCAGAGGGGTTCGAGATTAGCGGGGGCCTTAGAGCAGCTTTGCTCCACAAAATTCCAGGAGGAACACAGATGGACACTGCCCGCGGGAGGGTTAGGGCAGGAGATTAGGGGCCGACAGAGGGGCCAGAGTGAGGAAACGAGGAGGGTCGAGGGGGGAGTCTCGGGACAGGGCCCCTCCTCCAGCTCCCTAACAGAACAGGACCCCCCTCACTCCAAACCCTCACGGCATCTCTGTCAGGAAACGCGTGCTGTCCCCTGCCTTACCCTGTGATCACCGATGTACCCCCTGAACTCTCTCTGCTCTCAGCCCTGAAGTCTCATCCCAGGAACACGCGCTTCTGCAGTGCCCAACTCGCACAGCTGTCCACGGAGCCCCCGGCACGGTGCACACCCTTCCCATCCTGTCCCAGGCTGGCGCTGTGCAGGTGGGACACTAGGACCCCCTTGGGCGTTGGGGAGAACGGAGCTGAGATCCCGGCCGCCCCAGGAGGGGCTGGCCACATAAGCCATGGTCCATCACAGCGGTGGGGGCCAGACCCACACACAAACCTGGACAGACGCACGAGCCAGCCTGCGTGTCCGGGAGAGGGCGCTGTGGCCACGGGCCAGGGCACTCGGCCCCCACTAGGCAGTTTCTCCTTGTTTGGGCTCTGGGGTCACACCCAGGGAGCTCAGGACTTATTCCTGGGTCTGGCTCAGGGGTCACTCCTGAGGGTGCTCAGGGGACCATCTGGGGAACCCAGCGGTCACTCCGCCCTGCATTTGCTCTTTGTGATCCTGATCTTGGCCTGCCTACCTGTCCACCTCTCTACTCGGGCTGCCTGTCTCCCAGTCTGACTCCGCCTGCCCTCCCTCCCTCCCTCCCTCTTTCCATCCTTCCTCCCTCCCTCCGTCCCAGGACCTGATGAAGACTGGTGCTGTGCTCCGGGGCTGACCTTAATTGTCCCCCTAATCTGCCTTTCCCGAAAGCTGGTCAGCAGAGTTTCCAGACGGGCTCTCTTCCTATCACGGGTTCCTGCCTATCTTTCCTTGACTTGCTAGTCTCTTTCACGAACAGCATCCCATTGTCAGGACCCGGAGCCCGGAGTGGCTCCCAGACCAACCCCTCGGACCCAGGGCAGCCCCAGAGATGCACCTCGCCCAGCGCCCCAAGGAGCGGCCGGCTGAGCAGGGCCTGGGAGGGGCCCAGCGGGGCTAGACCGGAGGGAAACTGCCTCCAGGCCCCCGTCCCCGCCTTCCAGGACCTGCCAGGCCTGGCTCCTGCCCCAGGGCCAGGGCCGGCCTCTTGCCAGCCCCACACCTGGGCCCGCCCAGTGGAGCCACTCTGAAGTCTGGGGTCTGCTCACCTTCATCCCGGCCACGTCGATGCGAGTCCTCACCTGGAAGTGGGCCCCCACCTGGATGACCCTGGGCACGCAGTAGAGCAGCATGTTGTTGAACTGCGGACAGACACCAGGCGGGTGGAAGGTGGACTGGGGATGGGCGGGGGAGGGCCAGGGGCTGGACAGGGGCTGGACAGGGGGTGGACGGTGAATGAGAAGGGATGGACAGAGATGGACAGGGGGTGGCCAAGGGGGTCAAACAAGGGGAGGGGAAGGGGAATGGACGGAAATGGACAGGGAGCGTGGACGGGGTGATGGACGGGGGATGGGAAGGGGGCAGAAGAGGGGATGGGTAGAGATGGACGGGGGTGGGCAGGGTGGACAGACAAGAGATGGGAAGAGAGAGACAGGGATGGATGGGGGAGTGGGCAAAAAAAAAAAAGGTGGCCACGGCTTTCTTTTTTTTTTTTTTTCTGCCAAAAGCCACTGGGTTCCCAGATTTTTTTGTGCGCCTCTGGGGTCATGGCCACTCTGGGCCAGAGAGCCACTCGTAGAGGCAACTCGTGGTCTCAGTGGGGCCGGAAGGAACTGGCTGATTCCACCCCTCATCCCATGATGGCCAGGGCTTTCTGGGGGGGGGGGGCTGTGCACCCCTGCTCGGCCCCCCTCACTCCTGGGCTCACCGAGCTTGGGATGCAGCTGCAGCCTCCAAGCCATGGGCTGAGGGGGGCCCGTCCTACTCCCCCCCGGCCCAGGCTCCAGCCCAGACCGCGCCCTGCAGGGGGCACCCCTCACCAGGAACAGGTAGCGCTCCAGGGGCTCGCTGCGCCGGAAAGAGATCTTGAGGACCGGGCCCTCGCGGAGCAGCGTGTTGGAGGGGTCCACGAGGTCGTCATCCAGCCCCAGGCGCTGGTACACTTCCCACAGGTCCTGCAGCCGCTCCTGACAGGGGGCCTGGGCAGGTTGGCTTGGCCGGGGTGGAGGTGTGGGCGGGGGCGGGCGAGGGGGAGGGGCTGAGGCCCGGGAGGGGAGGGCAGGGGAGCGGGGAGCAGGGCAGCTCACCATCTCCGAGATGGCCGCGTTGGAGTGCTGGGCAGCCGAGAAGATCATGTCCAGGGCTTCTGGGGCAGGGCAGGGCCAGAGTTAGCCCTCGGCAGGCCAGGGCAGGGGGGTCTCGGAGGTCTAACCAAGGAACCCAGGCCCCCGGGGAGCACCCAGAGCCGCCTGCCCTGCTGGCCTGGTCCGTGGACAGATGGTGTGAGGGGATCCTCCTGCCATGGGCACAAGAGTCCAGACCACCCCCCCCCTCCGCAAGACAGGGCCTGGGCCTTGGTTCCCGGGGCCCTCGCTGCTCCCTGAGCCCAGCCCGAGGCGGGAAGTGCGGGGGGTCTCCTGCAGATGCGGGTGCAGACACCCCTGCTCTGCCCATTGCTGCGGATGGCCTTGAGGAAGCAGCTGGACCTTGGCTGTCAGGATGGGTAGAGTGTCCGCCAGGCCCGCGTCTGTGTGGCTAGCTGCTGACCCTCTGGTGTCCAGTGGGTGCTCACACGTAGGAGGGACCACTGCCCCCCACCCCCACCAACCCCCAGCCCCTGTCCTACTCTGCACTTCCGGTCTGTCCGGGCCCCCACCCCGTCCTAATCTGCACGTCCACCCTGTCCGGCTCTCACCTGTCCTACTCTCCACATCCGCCTTGTCTGGGTCCCACCCTGTCCTACTCTGTGCGTCCGCCCTGTCCAGCCCCCACCCGTCCTACTCTGCGCGTCCGCCCTGTCCGGGGCCTGTGCCGGCAGCCTCTGCAGATACTCCTGGAGCAGCAGCTCGTAGCGGGGAATTCTCTGCACGGGCTCCAGCATGTGGTGCTGCAAGGTCAGGCTGGCTGAGGCCTCGCTGCTCTGGGGGGGGGTGCACAAGGGGGCAGAAGGTGGGGGTGAGCGAGGGGGCGTCGGGGGACTGGGCAGGGACACCCCTGAGCTGGAGATGCCCAGCCTGGCTCGGGCAGCTGCAGCTCCGCTACCTGGATCCGGGTGAGAACCTCCTGGAAGGGCAGGGACTTGTCCGCCCAGAGGGCCAGCAGCTCAGCCGCCCGCTCGAAGTTCTTGATGTACTCGCTATACATTTTCAGGAAGGGTGCCAGTTTCTGCAGCACATCCCCGATGCGGGGCGTGTTGGTCCTGCGGGGCGGGGCGGGGGGGAAGCCCATCCTCAGCTGCAGATGCCGCTTTTTTTTGTTTGTTTGTTTGTTTGTATGTTTGTGCTTTGTTTGGGCCCCTCATCCGGCTGTGCTCAGGGTTTGTCCCTGGTTCTGTGCTCAGGAGCCACTTCTGGTAGGGTTCAGGAAGCCATGCGGGGTGCTGGGGACCAAACCTGGGCCGGCTGCGTCCAAGGCAAACCCCTGCCCACTGTGCTGTTGCTCTGGCCCGGCCGCCTCTTTTCTTTGGTCACTTTGGCTTGGGGACACACCTGGCAGAGCTCAGGGCTTATCCCTGACTCTGTGCTCAGGAGTCACTCTTTTTTTTTTTTTTTTTTGCTTTTTGGGTTACACACAGCGACACACAGGGGTTACTCCTGGCTCGTGCACTCAAGAATTACTCCTGGCGGTGCTCAGGGGACCATATTGGATGATGGGAATCGAACCCAGGTCAGCCGCGTGCAAGGCAAATGCCCTACCTGCTTTGCTATCGCTCCAGCCCCTCAGGAGTCACTCTTGGCTCTGCTCGGGGACCATATGTCATGTCTGGGAGTAGAACCCAGGTCAGCTGTGTGCAAGGAAATCACCTTAACTAGTGTACTATCTCACCAGCCCCAATCTGGGGACCCCAAATAATTTTAAAAGACATCCCAGACATAGTGTCCTTGGCAAAATATCTAGAGAAATTCCACCTCAAAAATATCTAAAGAGGGGCTGGAGCGATAGCATAGCAGCTAGGGCGTTTGCCTTGCACACAGCCAACCCGGGTTCGATTCCCAGCATCCCATAGGGTCCCCTGAGCACCGCCAGGAGTAATTCCTGAGTGCAGAGCCAGGAGGAACCCCTGTGCATCGCCGGGTGTGACCCAAAAAGAAAAAATATATATCTAAAGAAATTTTGCCTCAAAATACTTGAGTACTGTTCCCCGTGGCCTCGGTGGGCTGAGGCACTGAGCACTGAGCACTTGGGCAGTGCCTCACAGAGCGGAGCCCTTGGCACCTAGAGGTCACCCCGGAAACAAAGGGCTCCTGCAAGACTCGCCTCATCACAGGGGCCATGTAAGGGGGTGACAGCCATGGGTGCGAAGGCAGCAGGCGCTTGGCCGCATCCTCTGTTCTTGCGGTCCCCAGTCATTTGGCTCAGTGAGGACCCCCGCTTCTTGTCAAGGACACAACACTTGCACACACACGCAATCACGTACATGTGTGCACATGCATGTACACATGTGCTCATAGACACACACATGCACACACACGCAGCACAGGCATGCACGTACACACTCAGATTTGGACGCTGCCATCTACACAGATGCACATATATGCACACACAGATGCATACATGTGCATAAACACACATACACATATACATGGGCTGGAGCGATAGCACAGCGGTAGGGCGTTTGCCTTGCACGCAGCCAACATGGCCGACCCGAGTTCGATTCCTCCGCCCCTCTCAGAGAGCCCGGCAAGCTACCGAGAGTATCTCGCCCGCACGGCAGAGCCTGGCAAGCTCCCTGTGACGTATTCGATATGCCAAACACAGTAACAACAAAGTCTCCAATGGAGACGTTACTGGGCCCACTCGAGCAAATCGATGAACAACGGGAGGACAGTGACAGTGACACATACACACACACACATGAACACACATGCACTCATTCACAGGACACCCAAGCATGCAGACACACACATACATACACTCACACCCGGGATCCTCCTCCAAGCCGCACCCAAAGAAGGAGCTGCCGGTGGGTGCGGCGACATCCCCGGGGTCCAGTGGGGTCCCGGCACTCACCAGTCGTCCAGTCGCCGCTGCAGCTCGGGGAGGAAGAAGTGAGCGTGGAACTGGTAGATGGAGGAGATGTTGGAGAAGATGAGCCGTACCACGTCCTCGGGGAAGGCCTTGCTGCTGCGCGCTTCTCTCAGCAGCTCCTGGAAGAACACCTGCGCCCGGAGTCACTGCCTGCCCGCCCGTGGCGTGACCCCGCGGCCCTGGCCACCCCTGGCAGTGCTTAGGGAGCCATGTGGAATGCCAGGGATCGAACCCAGGCCGGCCACATGCAAGGCAAACGCCCTCCCCCCTGGACTATCACTCTGGCCCTCCAAGAACATTTTAAAAATGTATTTTTTTGTTTCGGAGCCACATCCAGCATATAGGATTCAGGGACTAGAACCCGGGTAGGCTGCAGGCAAGGCAAGTGGCCTCCTCGCTGTACTGTCGCTCTGGCCAGGGCTGGTTCTTTGGTCTCAGGACGCGGCACACCCAAGACACACCCTCGACCACCGAGCAGCACGGCCCTGCTCGCTGCGCAGGGCTCTGATTTCTGTCCCAGCCGTTGTTGAGTTTCCCAGGGTCCTAACTCTGGGGAGGGCCACAGGAGAGCGGGAGGGATGCGAGAGCCCGGGGAGGTGGGAGTCACCTGGTCCAGCAGGTGCAGGCGGGCCACATAGGCCTGCTCCGTCTCCAGCAGCTCCCGGACAACCCTCTTCTCCGCGGGTTCCTGCGGCAGGCGGGGACAGTGGGAGGGAGGCCACATCTGAGCCCGAGAATTGGTCCTGACAGATGACTCACAGCGGGGCGGACGACAGGCAGGTCCGTCTGGCTGAGCCTGAAGAAGCATCGAAGGCCCCAAGCGCTCCTGCTCGGGGTGAGGCCCCATGGAGAGGCCCCTGGGAGATGAGAGACCCCAGGACAACATGGAGAGAACCAGGGCCCCGTGGCCACGCTCCCTCAGGTTTCCTGCCCACCGGGTTCTCCACGCACCCACCCCAGGTACTATCCCCGTGTGGACACCCTGGCCACACCGTGACTACGCTCGGAGATGCTGGACTTCAGGTGAGGTGGACGGGAAGGAGGATGTAAGGCTGAGACGGGACCACATCCAAAGGTTTCAGGCCAGGAGAGCGTGGGGGCTTGGAGCACAGGCCCTGAACACGCCCTGCCTGGTCCCTGCGCGTGCTGCCTCTGGCCGTGGGGGCCCGCACTGTGTCACGGGTCTGAGCACAGCTGCAGGAGGCCCTGAGCACTGCTGGGAGGTCCCATCGGCAAGAACACAGACCAGGAGCGACAGCACAGAGGGGAGGGCGTGTGCCCTGCATGCTGCAGACCCAGTTCTGATTCCGGCCTCCCCTAGGGTGCCCCGAGCACCACCAGGAGTAACCCCTGAGCATCGCCAGGTGTGGTCCAAAAACCAAAACCAAAAATCAAATAAATAGAAAGCTGAGAGTGGCCACTGGGGAGTGGGGGCGGGGAGAGAGAGTCAACTATGCAGCCGGCGGTGACCAGGACGTACAGCAACAGGCCCTGCCCTTGCTTTACGCATGAGGAAACTGAGGCACAGGAAGGCAGGGAGCAGGAGGTGCCCCTGACTGTGGGCAGCCCCCGTGGGTGCCAGGAAGGGCAGGACCCCGCCCAGGGGGGGTTCATGTCAGGGCAGTGGCGCCTGCACCCGTTCCGTGAATAAACAGGTCAGCGAGGCAGGAGACCAGCTTTCCAGTGACCCGGATCCAAGCTGTGCTGAGTCCCCCGCCCTGAGCGGCCTTCCCCAGGGAGGGACCTGGGCAAGGATGCGGGGGGAGCACCGTCCAAGCCGCCCAGGGGATGCACAGGGCTGGCAGGGAGGAGGCATGCATCAGAGACGGGCGAGGGGACCGCCCCGCCCTCGGCACCTGTGGCCCCGATTCAGGGCTGGCTTCAGGCTGGCATGGTTTCCTCCAGACCCCGCTGGACAGCTTGTTCTTCAGGGAGCTCAGGTAGACCCTGCTGACCGTCCGCCGCTGGCCAACCTGCTCCCAGGGCTGAGGCGCTCCGGCCTCCAGCGCCTGGGCTGGAGGAGCCAATCCGGGGGTCCTGAGGACAGAGCAGACCTGAGCGCTTCCTGTCTGTCTGCAGAGCAGGGAAAGACATAGGAGCTTCCTGGTAGGGGGGTCTGGGGGGACTGAGGCAGACCCCCGCGTGTCCCGGCCCCGCGTGGCTGCCTGGGAGGGGAGTTTGCTGAGCGAACGCTCACTCTGTCCGACACTTTCCTTCGCGGGAACTCCAGCTTCCAGGATGAGTCAGTGAGGACTGATTCATCCCGCTGGGGGACCACGGACTTCCCTGTTTCGTGTGAAGTGAGCCGGGCTAGGAGGGAGCTCGAAGGGCTTAATCTGGCACACGCAGGCCCCGACTACGGCTTCCTGGCAGGGCTGGACGGGGCCAGGGCCTGAGCACTGTGCAGCCCGCTGTGCGACCCCCAGGCCTATGAGGAGGCCCCGCAACGAGAGGAGGGAAGGACCCCCTCCTTCTGCACACGGAACTGGGGTCCCTGTCTGGGAGATCACACCCCTCTGTAGCCCGCCCCGGGCTCACACCTGCAGCAGGCAAGGCTGAGACCGTAGGAATGAATCAGAGCGAGAAGGTGGCACTGTGGCCTGCAGCTGAGGGCTGGCCGGCAAAGGCAGTTTTGTTGTTGTTGGTTTGGGATTTTGGCCCACACCCAACTGTTTTCAGGCGTGATCTTGGATCTTTGCTCCTTGACAGGGCTCTCGGGGCCAGATGAGGTGCAGGGGAGTGAACCCAGGTTGGTCCCGTGCAAGATGCGCCCCTATCTGCTGTACTATCACTCCAGCCCCTGTTTTGTTGCAGTTATTGGTTCGGCTTTTTAGTGAGGTCTGTGGCCTCAGCACACTTGGTGCGTTTGGGGCCAGTCTGGGGCAGCAACATGCTCAGGAGGCAGTTTTCTCCTATTCCAGCTCTACCGGGCAGTTAAATGGCTTAGGTAAGAGAGGCCTCCCACAGCGAGTCTCTCCCACGGCGAGTCTCTCCCACAGCAAGTCTCTCCCACAACGAGTCTCTCCCACAGCGAGTCTCTCCCACAGAGTCTCTCCCACATAGTTTCTCCCACACCAAGTCTCTCCCACAGCGAGTCTCTCCCACAGTCTCTCCCACAGAGTCTCTCCTACACGGAGTCTCTCCCACATGGAGTCTCTCTCACATGGAGTCTCTCCCACACTGAGTCTCTCCCACAAAATCTCTCCCACACAGAGTCTCTCCCACATGGAATCTCTCCCATGCCAAGTCTCTCCCACAGAGTCTCTCCCACAGCAAGTCTTTCCCACACTGAGTCTCTCCCACAAAGTGTCTCCCACATGGAGTCTCTCCCACAGAATCTCTCCCACACCAAGTCTCTCCCACAGAGTCTCTCCCACAGCAAGTCTCTCCCACACTGTCTCTCCCACACAGAGTCTCTCCCACACAGAGTCTCTCCCACACCAAGGCTCTCCCACAGAGTCTCTCCCACAGTGAGTCTCTCCCACATGGAGTCTCTCTCACACGGAGTCTCTCCCACAAAGTGTCTCCCACATGGAGTCTCTCCCACAGAATCTCTCCCACACCAAGTCTCTCCCACAGAGTCTCTCCCACAGCGAGTCTCTCCCACATGGAGTCTCTCTCACACGGAGTCTCTCCCACAAAGTGTCTCCCACATGGAGTCTCTCCCACAAAGTCTCTCCCATACCAAGTCTCTCCCACAGAGTCTCTCCCACAGTGAGTCTCTCCCACATGGAGTCTCTCTCACACGGAGTCTCTCCCACAAAGTGTCTCCCACATGGAGTCTCTCCCACAAAGTCTCTCCCACAGAATCTCTCCCACACCAAGTCTCTCCCACAGAGTCTCTCCCACAGCGAGTCTCTCCCACATGGAGTCTCTCTCACACGGAGTCTCTCCCACAAAGTGTCTCCCACATGGATTCTCTCCCACAAAGTCTCTCCCACAGAATCTCTCCCACACCAAGTCTCTCCCACAGAGTCTCTCCCACAGCGAGTCTCTCCCACATGGAGTCTCTCTCACACGGAGTCTCTCCCACAAAGTGTCTCTCACATGGAGTCTCTCCCACAAAGTCTCTCCCACAGAGTCTCTCCTGCACTGAGTGTCTCCCGCTGAGTCTGTGCAACGACAGGGACTGTGCCCCTCTGTCTTCAGTCTGGATATGTTGGCATGGGCAGCACGGGGCAGAAGCTCTTGTGAGAATGGTTCTGTTACCCCCATTTTGCTGCTAAGAAAACTGAGGTCCAGAGTGGAAAAATACTTTAGAGCTAGGAAGTGGCCCAGTCGGGGTGCGAACAGCAGGATGAGTCCCTGAGCCTGGGCCCTTCACTGCTCCTCCCCATCTGAGTCAAGTAGAAGCAGACCAGAGCATCAGCGTGGCTGCCCCAGGTCGCACAGCCCCCCTCCACCCCCATCCCTGCGCCTGCCAGGGCTGACACTCGCAGAGGGGGCTGGGCCCGGGCTTTCTGTTCTACATTTGGGTTCAGCTTCTGCATTTCTCTCCGCTACCCGGGCGGGCTTCTGTTTCCTCTTCACCCCAGTTTCACATCAGCTGAGCTGCAGAGACCTCCCAGCTGCCCCAGCAACGGTCCAGGGGTCCTTCCCACTGCGGGGGTGGCACGCTTCCTCCCCACCCTTCTCCTCCATCTCCCTCTGGCCCTCGGGCTGCCTAACCCAGCGCGGGACTCACATGCCAAGGGACTGCACTCCAACAGGCCGGGACGCTGGAGTGGGGGGCAGCGCCATCTGTACATGGTGGGCTGGTGGGCCGGCGGTGGCACCCAGAGCTGTCCTCGGTGCTGAACAGAGCTTGGCTAGCACAGGTCTCGGAGAGGCAGGATGGCTAGGGCACCAGCTCAGAAACTGGAACTATTCTGGGGCCACAAGCCTGACACCTCCGCCAGGAAGTCCACGGGATGCTCTCCCTGCTCTGGGTGCCCTTCCCACGGTATCTGGGCCCCTCCCAGGAGATCATGTCCATGAACTGGCACCGTGGTACCATGGCCTGTTTTTACATCACAGACAAAAATTCTCAGAGCAGGTATTTTCTTTCTTCCCTTCTTTCTTTCATTCCTTCTTGTTTCTTTTGGGTCACACCCGGCAATGCTCAGGGGTTGCTCCTGCCTCTGCTCTCAGGAATCAGGGGACTGTGTATTGCTGGTGGTCAAACCTGGGCCCTCCTGTGCGTAAAAGTACCTGCCCAACCCTTGATATGCCTCTTTGGCCCACGGGAATCACTCTTTCTGGTTTGTGCTTTGCTTTGGGGGCACACTGGCAGTGCTCAGGGCTGACTCCTGGCTCTGTGCTCAGTGTTAACTCCTGATGAAGCTTGGGTGACCATTCACGAAGGTGAGGATCGAACTGGGGTCAGCCACATGCAAGGCAAGTGCCTTCACTCCCCTGCCCTGGGATAATTCGAGTGGGTCCTGCATGCACAGCTCTGTGAGAAGTGTTCAGGACCAACGCATCCTTCCAGCTGCAGAGAGGGTCAGAACTGCACCCTCTCTGGCAGTGCCCTTCCGGAAGGAGTCGTCTCCCCAAGGACGAGTGCGTGTTGGCCTCCATGGGGACAGCAGGGGGCATCCCCAGTCCAGGGCTGCCCTGGCCTCCCTGAAAGTGACAGCAGCATGGGTGTCCTCTGCCCAGAGCTCCTCCTGCTCCAGTGTCCCCAGGCTCTCCCCAGTCTCCTCACAGGACGTTCCCCAACTCAGCCTGGGGGTGAGAAATGCCTGCAGAGTGGATTCACACCTCCCCCACTCACACAAAATCTCAGACACACAAACACACTCACACACACTCACACACAAGAGACGCACAAACACACACTCAGACATACAAACACACCTCATACAAACTCTTATGCACTCACACACACACACACTCATGCACGCAGACACACAAACTCTCACACCCTCACATGCACACTCAGACAAATTCATTCACAAACACAAATACACTCATACACACACAGACTCTCACAGACACACACACTCACACAACCCTGTCCCCGCCTCCCGCCTGACCAACGCCCTCCCACAGGCCAGCCCAGCTACCCAGCAGTGGCCCTTTGCCTGTGCGCATGGAGCGCCCCCCCCCCCCCCGCCTCCACTTTCTACCTGTAAAATGGGAACAGGAGCAACCACAGCGCTGCGCCAGGTGCAGTGAAAGCACGAACACACTCCCAGGAGTGCCTGGGGTGCTGAGACCGGGTCACTTTTCCCATTGCCCACCCTGCGCCCACCGTGCGCCCACCCTGCCCCACTCCTGGAAGGCCTCAGCTTAGCTCCGTGCCAGTGTGTCCACACTCAGGTCGACATCGTCCTGTACCACCCGCAGCTGCCCACCCCCACGACCAAGCTCTGGTCAGCCCTGACCCCTGCCTTCTGCCCAAGGAACCCGAAACGAGCGCCTGGCACTGTGTGGGCAAGAGAGGGAACAGCCCAGAGAGTACATGGCCGGGGTTGCGGCCGGGGCCCGGGGGGCACCTGTCCTGTCTGAGACCCTCACCCCCACAGGAGCTGGGGCAATGCTCCTGGCCCATCACAGTGACCCTTCCCCAGCCGCCCCGTACCTGCCGCTCTCAAACTCGGTCACCAGCCTGGACACCGATGCCACCTTGTCCTCATTTGTCCACTCCATTCCGGACCGGCCACGGGGGCCCCTCAGACGGCTTCCTCACTGCCCCACCCGAGGACAGAGCGCGGCCCAAGCATCTGGAACCGCCTGTGTGCTGCTTCTGCCTCAGAGGCCGGCTGGAGGAAGTGGGCCTGGGCCCAGCCTAGGGGGAGGAGGAGCATGGCCCCGCCAGGCGCTGGCGGGGAGCTGACCCTGCTGTAGCCCACCAGACAGATTCTGCCTCTGCCAATGGTGACCTCTTGCCTGAGAGTCTCCGCCAACCACGCTTGAACTCTCACACGGTCGGAGGGTTTCACACCGGCTCCTTTCTCAACAAGTCTTTTTTTTTTTCTTTTTGGGTCACACCCGGCGATGCTCAGGGGTTACTCCTGGCTCTGCACTCAGGAATCACTCCTGGCGGTGCTTGGGGGACCATATGGAATGCTGGGAATCGAACCTGGGTCGGCCACGTGCAAGGCAAACGCCCTCCCCGATGTCTTATCACTCCAGTCCCTGCAGTACTGCATTTATTTTTAATTTTTTATTTATTTATTTTATTTTTGCTTTTTGGGTCCCATCCAGCGATGCTCAGAGGTCACTCCTGGCTCTGCACTCAGGGATCACTCCTGGCGGTGCTCGGGGGACCATATGGGATGCTGGGAATCGAACCCGGGTTGGCCGCGTGCAAGGCAAACGCCCTACCTGCTGTGCTGTTGCTCCAGCCCCTCTCAACAAGTCTTGCGTGTGATTTAGGGCCCCATCTGGAGGTGTTGGACGGCTGCTCCCGGAGACCCTGGGACCATGTGGTAGCGGGACTGAATCCAGGTCTCCGCTTCCTTGCCACAGCTTCTCTGCATGTCAGCCTGCGCGTGGTTGTCGACACCGGCTCTTTACCACACAGAAGTCTCTGGGGGCTGGAGCAAATGCAGCAATGTGCTCTCCTGGCTGGCCTCACCTGACCCACCTCAGTCCTGACATTGCATATGGTCCCCGAGCACAGAGCCAGGAGTGAGCCCTGAGCACAGCCAGATGTGGTCCAGTAACAATAGCAAAAATGTCCCAGGAACAGGCTATGTGACTCAAGTGGCTGACATGGCTGGCTTGTTCCAGGCCCTGAGTTGGATGCCCAGCACTGCGTGTCCCAGTGTGGTCCCTGTGAGTCAGGGACAGCGCCAAGGGTCTGTGAATCTGTCATCTAGGAGGCCGCTGTCTGCCTCTCAGGCCCTCCCTGAAGCGCCCATAGTGAGACTGGCTCAGTGTTCTCCTTTCAGAGCTGGACCCCGTCTTCTCAGGAAGTTCTTCCTTGTTATGCCTCTGCTGGGAGTCCACACCCAGCAGTGCTCGGGGCGACTCCCGCCTTATTGCTCAGGAACTCTCCTGTGGTGCTCAGGGCCCGTATGTGGTGCCCGTTCTCAGACCTGGCCCTGCTCTGTGCAAAGCTGGTGGACTCTCTCTGGCCCGCGGTCCCCATCCCACAGAAGGACGATGGAGGATGGGGAGGCCAAGGAACTTGTCCTCCACAAAATCTCTCCACAAGAACACAGCAGTGCTCGGATTTCCAAAGTGAAAATAAACAGAAAAGGTTTAAAAGTAAAAAGTGCTAGAAATCTTCCAACGATTTAGTAAGAGCCCCAGAGGACCTTTTCCCCTTTTTTTTTTTTTTTTTTTTTGCCACACCAAGCTGTGCTCAGGGATTACTCCGGGCTCTGCACTCAGAATGACTCCTGGAAGGGCTTGGGAGACCATAAGGGATGCAGGAGATCGGACCCTGGTCGGCTGCATGAAGGACAAGCCCTACCCACTGTTCTTTCTTTGGCTTCTTCCTCTTTTCCCTAGTGGCGCCTGGCGCTGACCCAGGCCTCACACAGGCAACGCCAATGCCCTCCTGCTGGGCACCACCCACCCCTGCTGCTCTGTCTCAGGCTTCCTGCCCCTCCACCCCACCCCCCGGCACTTGGTCACCTCTGCTTGGTGCCTCCTCTACCAAGCGACTTCCTGGCCCTCCCAGAAAGCAGACCTGGGTCTGGCCCTCAGGGAGCCTCACAGATCTGCCCTTCAGGTCCGCGTTTGCTGTCCACTCACTCTGTCCCGGCTTCGGGTGGAAACTCATCACAGGCCCCAGCACCTGTGCAAGCACACAGGCCACCCCGCCATGGGTGGCGGGACCTCCACCCCCAGATCTCACGAACTCTCCTCTCTTCTTTTTTTTTTTCTGTTTCGTTTTTTTCTTTTTGAGTCACACCCAGCAATGCTCAGGGGTTACTCCTGGCTCTGCACACAGGAATTATCCTGGCGGTGCTTGGGGAACCATATAGGATGCTGGGAATCGAACTCGGGTCAGCCGTGTGCAAGGCAAATGCCCTACCCACTGTACTATCGCTCCAGCCCCTCCTCTCTTCTTTTTTTATTTTTTATTTTATTTATTTATTTATTTATTTATTTGCTTTTTGGGTCACACCCACCAATGCACAGAGGTTACTCCTGGCTCTGCACTCAGAAGTTAATCCTGGCGGTGCTCAGGGGACCATATGGGATGCTGGGAATCGAACCCGGGTCGGCCGTGTGCAAGGCAAACGCCCTACCCGCTGTGCTATCTCTCCAGCCTCTCTTCTTTTTTTTAAGAGTTAATGCCCTTTTTCTAATATTTTAACAATAATTTAATTTTTTTGTAGGAGTACTGCTATTTATTCAGCCACTGATTAGCTGATTGAACTGGGCATGAACTCCACCTTAATTTTTTTTAATTTATTTATTTTTCTTTTTATATTTATTTATTGAATCACTGTGGGAAAAGTTACTAAGCTTTCAGGTTTAAGTCTCGGTCACACAATGATCAAACACCTTTCCCTTCACCAGTGCTCATTTTTCACCACCAAGAACCCCAGTATACCCCCCTCCCACCCCTCCAAATGCCTGTGAGGCAGATGATTTCCACTTAACTCTTCTCTTCATTGATTACATTCATTATTTCGACAAAAGATGCAAAAATAATTTAATTTTAAAAATAAAAACGTGCTAATCAAAAATGTCCATCTTCACTTTTAATTGATCTTATCACTTCAAGACAAGGATGCAGCATGGTAGAACGGTCCTCCTGTTGTTCATCGATTTGCTTAAGCGGGCCCAGTGGTGTCTCCAATGTGAGACTTGTTGTTACTGTGTTTGGCATGTCGAATACGTCACAGGTAGCTTGCCTGGCTTTGCCGTGCGAGCGAGATACTCTCGGTAGCTTGCCTAGCTCTCCGAGAGGGGCAAAAGAATCGAACCCAGATCGACCAGGTTGGCCATGTGCAAGGCAAACGCCCTACCCACTGTGGCTATCGTTCCAGCCCCAAGACAAGGATATAGACCAATTTGCGGATGACATGATACTATATACAGTTTTATCAGAAAATACTCTCATCACACATCTGTCACGTCACCATCTATACTTGAAACTGATATGCTACATGTTAATTTTCTTGTACACTTGAAAATAATATGTCAATTATATCTCATTTTGGAGAAAACACAGTTGAATGAAAGTACAAATAAGAATATGAAAGAACATATTGTGGTAAGGGTTTAAATCCTGGAATCTGAAACTTTAGGTGCTCTTATTCTAGATTATGGAAATCCTTGTTTTGTAATAGATTATTATTAAATTTCTAAAAGAAGGAAAATTTTTATTGGATATTTTTCGTGTGAAAATACTGTTTGAGTTAAAATTCTGTCACAAATCACAAATCATCCTGTTAATCGTCGATTGCCTCGAGCAGGCCCCAGTAACGTCTCCTTCATCCTAGCCCTGAGATTATATCCAAGGCTCTTTAGGAGAATGAGACCCATCATTGTTACTGGTATTTGGCATATTGGGTATGCCACAGGGAGTTTGCCAGACTCTGCCGTGTGGGCAGGCTACATTCGGTAGCCTGCAAGTTTGTCCAAAGTAGGAATGAGATAATAAGATGTTATAATAAGATGTCGCGCGGCCACGAATGCGGTCTCCTGCGCCCGCACCTGACTGTCCTCGCCTCCGGGGTCCCTTGGAGGGGAGCGGGTTGAGCTTTCCTCCCCGCCCCGACCAGGGCTCTGACAGCCAAAGACCTCCAGGACCAGCCACCACCATGCTGAGACCACTCTCCGCACACATGAAGGTACTGGCAGAGGGACAAAGTCACGCGGGTTCCGGGGCCGAGATCTCCAAGCCTACTCGGATTTGGGCCGAGCATCCTCCACCTAGATCCTCCAAATTCCAGTAGGCGGGGGTCACACCCACCAACTGGCCCCCTGGCGCCGTGTAATCCCATCAGTGGCCAAGACTCAAAGACTATAAAAATTCTGTAATTCCTTTGAACTCTTTTCCTAATTTTCCCCCAATGATTCCTTCCAAATGCTAAGGTTGTATTATAGGTATATATTCAATACTGGGGAAATTCTGCTCTTAGAACAGGTAGAACAATTGGTCTCCTTAGAAAGACAACTGCCTGATAGTCACACCCGTGAACTGCTCCGGATCATGTAATCTCATCAATGGCCAAGACCCAGAGACTATAAACTAAAGGTCCCGGAAGAGAACGACACAGAATTTCCTGGACATTATATTCTATCCATAACGAGCAATACACAGCAAATCGTCTAGCAGTTTTGAGTGGTGGTGAGACAGGTGTCGAAATATTGAATGTAACCAAAGTAGAGAGAGAATATGGGGAAACTGTCTGCCTCACAGGCAGGGGAAGTGTTGGAACGGGGTTCGGGGGAGAATACTGGGGATTTTGGTGGTGGGAAATGTGCACTTGTGAAGGGGTGGGTGTTTGATGATTGTATGACCGAAGCCCAAATGTAACTATATCTCAGGGTGAATCAAAAAAACACACATGTTCGTGAATGCCAACAAGACCTCTGTGCGCAGCTCCAGCAATGGCACTTTCACGAATACAAACCCTGGGAAGGAAAAGGAAAGCCACTCGGCCCGGCTCTTCCTCTCTCCGCAGAGGCCCCACCCGGACCTTGGATCGCATCTCGGTTCCCTCGCTTCTTGCTTG